GGGGGGGAATGTCCTTTAGGGGACAGAAAAAATATCCCCTGCCTGATTCTCACATCTCTAGTAGCAAAGCTGGACTGGACCCCTCCCTGAGACTTTGACGAGCAGCTACCAGTTGGTAGAGTCTGTACTCAGCTAGAGGGACCGAGGCTGTAAGTTTAGATGGCAGCTTCCGTCTTAGTGCAGGGCAACAGAAGTCTCTTTGTTCCCAGTTCTGCTCTCTCTCCTGCTACAAGTAACTTACCATTCTGCCATCTCTCTCTCTTCCTGTCTGTCTCTGCAGTGGTTGCCCTCCACGACGGGAGGAGACTGGCCTGGATTTCACAGGACTGTAATAAACAAAGTTATTGTCCTGACCAAACAAGGGACAGTGTGCAGCGAAGCAAGACAAACCTGGGTGGATGCTAGTTGCCATTTGATGTAAGGAGCTCAGTGCCTTCAGTGTATCCATGAAGATCCTTGGGTGGGCAGCTGCTTCAGTTTCCCCTCTGCCCTTCAGAGATGCCAGGGGACATTGGAGCTACTTGCAGGGGACTGGGTTTGGTAACTGCTGTGGACTCTTCTACCTCTTTTATTTACACTACAGATGTTCTGTCCTTTATATACTGGGTTTCAGTGACAGCTCTGCTGCCCGCCTCTTGTCTCGGACTTCATATTTTTAATGTTTCTGCACACCTGTGATTCAAAAATGGCCACTCCAACCTGTCGACACTCGAACAGGTTGGGACCCACTGAGTGAACCATGGCATGCCACAAATTTCCCCTCCGTTTCTGCAGTCTCTGGCAAAGGGGAAAATCAGGAGATTTCCTAAGCACATCGTGGGTCCTTTTTGACATTGTGGGACACAAATTGTGCCGACCTGATGTAGCTGTGTTTTAAAAGATAGGGATAGATGGCAATGAGACGAGATCAGCAAAATCCACCAAGAGTAGAGCACACTAGGAATAGCACCCCTGAGGGCCTGAAAAATTAGAGGTGAAGAAGCAGAAGTGTCACATGCTTGGGGGATTCCTGGAGGGTTTGTTGGTGGTGCCTGGGGAGGGCGTATAATGCTGCAGAACCCACCCACCTCTTCTCTCAGCCCTGCAGGAGAAGGTGACGGAAGTGGAAACGCAGCTGCACAAGGATCTGTCAGAAATGGAAAAAAAGCTCAATGAAGCACGGCGGGAGCACACGAAGGCAGGTAAGCGGCGGAAAGATGGTTCGAGAGAGTTTGTTACCCGAGGCTGGCGGTTTGTGTGGAACCCCTCTTCCCTGTGGTTAAAATGCAAGAAATAATGAGCTGGACTATGGCGTGCCACCGTTTGGAGCATCTGCCCCTCTCCACCCTCTGGGGGACGTGGCTCTGCGCTGAGGCACATGCTTCGTTTACAGATGATCTCCAGTTGAGCTCTGTCACTTCTGGCCGAAGGATCTCAGCTGGCAGGTCGTGGGGGGGGGGGAATTTGGAGGAAACTGACATATATGCAGTACATTCTTACGAATCCTACACTTTACTACTTCAGCAACGCAAAATGCATAATGCAAAATTTAGTTACCATATAGTTTTCTATTGTTGAGCATATTTATGGCATTTCAAAGTATAGATGCCTTACAGTGCCATCCTGTAACTACTTTCCTGGGAGTAAGCCCCATGGAATAATTGCAAATCTAACCAATACTAAAGATGGAGCTGCAAACTGTTGCACTCTGTGCTATCTTAGCTCAGGTATCTTTTTGCCATCTGAGAGGTAGGAAAAGAAAAAATAGAGAACACAAATTTTCTGTTAAACAAAACTATGATTTGGACAAAAGCAATCTCAGTGAAACTTTGTCACAAAACTCATTGATTGAGTACTAGCTTCATACAGATTATAGCATATGAATTGTGGATAAAATTAGTTTTCTTTAAATACACCTCTGAAAACGTTGTTCTTTTTCTACACCGTACACAGAAATTAATCATACGCTAATGCCGTAGATATAAAAATCTTCATACTACACATTTTGAGAGGCTAAAACCTTGTCTCAAAAAGCATTTTTATTTCCAGTGCACCTCCCCCCTTCCAAAAAAAAAATTATAGCTTTTGTACTGGAGAATTTGCCGGGGGGGGGGGGGGGGGAATGTCCTTTAGGGGACAGAAAAAATATCCCCTGCCTGATTCTCACATCTCTAGTAGCAAAGCTGGACTGGACCCCTCCCTGAGACTTTGACGAGCAGCTACCAGTTGGTAGAGTCTGTACTCAGCTAGAGGGACCGAGGCTGTAAGTTTAGATGGCAGCTTCCGTCTTAGTGCAGGGCAACAGAAGTCTCTTTGTTCCCAGTTCTGCTCTCTCTCCTGCTACAAGTAACTTACCATTCTGCCATCTCTCTCTCTTCCTGTCTGTCTCTGCAGTGGTTGCCCTACGCCAGGCTGAGCGACAGGCAGCAAGGGACAAAGCACATAGCGAAGAGCTGGCCAAGCTGCAGGATGCCGCCACGCGACAGGAAACGGCACGCCTTGAAGCATGTCTGCAGGAGCTCAAGAGGGACAAGAACCTGCTGATGGTATGGTAGCAGTGTGGGGGACAGGGCTGCCCCTTTGGCGATGGCTTGTATTAAGGGCTGTCTCTTTCCTTGAGCAGGCAACTTTGCGACAGGAGGGGATGTTAGCGCAGTGTCGGCAGAATCGGCAGGGGGCAATCCAAGCCTCAGCAGAATTGACTGAACAGGGAGCAACTCAGATGCCATCTAAAGGTATGCTATCGCCTTCCCAGAATTCCCTGCTGCATGCCATAGCATGTCCCTTTTGCTGTCTCCCATAACTGACAGTTATGCTGTTTTACCATTAGCGTGTATTCTTGTGTTCTGATTTTCCTAGATCCTTTGGTGTTGCCCATCTCCCCTCATGCCCCAAAAAGCCCCCAAGCTGAAAACCCTTTCTTATCACTTGGTATCTTCCTCTAGTCCCTCTCACTCCAGACCTTTCACCAGTTTCTCTCCTTCCTCTCACAGAATCCCTCTCTGCTGTGCTGAGTGATCTGCAGGCCCTGAGTGCAGCCATCTTGGATGAAGAGAAGGCTGAAGAAAAGCCCGATGAAGATGGAGGCACCAGTGCAGACACCTGAGAGCCACTTACTGAAGGAGGATTTTCTGGGGAGAGAGGGAGATGAGAGTAATTGACATAGGTGTGAACAGAACACCGGTATTTTGAAATAAATATTATTTTAGTAGACCCATGGCCTTTCTCTCTCTCGAGGGGAGGAGGACACTCTGATACGCTTGGGTTCCTCTTCCCACAATCCCTGGAGGCAGGAAATTGATTGCACTTTCCATCTCCAGGGGGAGGAGAAGCCCACCCTCAGTCTTTTTCTTGCTTCCGCATGAGAGAACTCCTGAGACTTTTCCTTTAAGGAGCTCCTTTAGTTGCACTTTGTTTTTCTCTTTCCACATGTGTGCATTTCCCTTTGTTTAAAAAGCAAACTTTGTTCTTCTGGCCTCGTCTTCCTTAGGCTGTTTGCCTTTTGCCTGCCGCTTCAGTCATGGTCGTGTCTGCAGCTGAGGTCTCTGACTAGGGGACCTCCTCTGAGGGAGAGTTGGGGGAGGTAGTCCCCTGGCAGTGGAGCAGGGAATCCCTGCAAACCTGCTTGCCCAGCCGTCCGGCCTCAGCAGAACTGCTGAAGAGAGCCAGAGGTTGTGAATCATCTGGCTTGGATCTTGAAGAAGCAGGCTTGATTTTTGGCACCAACACCCTCTACTGATCAGCCGGGATGGCCTATATTGGCCCATCAGGCCTGCTCAACACAGCCTTCTGTGGCCATCAGAGCGTTGTCTCCAATCAGTTAGAGGGAGAAAAAAGCTGCTTTACCCTCCCGGATGCAAGAGGATGAGATATCTATGAAATCTAGCACATTGTAGGCAGAGTTACTCCTTTTCTTTTAGTTTCTCTTGTACCCTGCTGGCTTCAGTGGCCTCTGCCTTCATCCTGTTTGTGATGTGCCTGTGAGTCTTGCCTTCACGTGGCACTTAGAAGTGCTCATTTAATGTAAAAATTCATGTCCTCTTTTGGTCCCCCACCCTGCTAGGGCTGCCTCTTAAGATGACCCCCCCCCCTTCTCGTATATTTCTATTAGAAGCTGGGGGTGGCTCAGTAGGTACAAGGAGGCTGTTACACAGTCCAGTGCCCACCAGGGGTGTGATGCTGAGTCTGACCTGCCTGGAAACATCCTTGTGCTAGCAGTGACCATATTTAAGAAATGATGTGCATCCCCTACAGGGTGCTCACATCAGAAGTATGCTCTTCTGGTTCAGGAAGCAGGGCCAGTCTACTTGTTGAGAGCCTCTCGCCTTTAAAAGGCAATCCTAGGTAGCTGCGGGAGCAATGTTAAAGAGGCCTACTTGGAAGCAATGCCCATTCTATTCAATAGGGCTTATTCCCAGGCAAGGGTTGCTGTTGTTTTTGGACATCAGGTCGCCACTGACTCATGGCAACCCTGAAGGGTTTTGAAGGCGAGAGATGTTCAGAGGTGATTTGCCATTGAAGGTAGGGACCCTGGACTTCTTTGGTGGTCTCCCATCCAAATACTGACAGGGGCTGACCCTGCTTAGCTTCCCAGATCTGACAAGGTTCAGCTAGCCGGGTTATGCAGGTCAGGATAGTGTAATTGGGAAAGTGTTTTTAGGACTCCAGAAATCCATGCCTGTTCAAGCAGACTGCTTATATTTGCCAGTGTATAAAAGTAGAAACTTGGGTTTAACAGCCATGAGCAAGGTATGATTTGGTGAAGGGGGGGGGGTTGGTGCAGGAGTTGTGGGAGGTCTTCTAGTGTCCTGGCCCCACTGCTGGACCTCCTGATGGCACCTGGTATTTTTGGCCACTGTGTGACAGAGTGTTGGACTGGATGGGCCATTGGACTGATCCAACGTTGGCTTCTCTTATGTTCTTATGTGTTTAGAGCCCAATCCTGTTTACTCAAAAGTAAGCTCTGAAGTGAAAATTGTGCATGGAAGTGTGGCCGTGCAGCCCTTTTGGAAGCGATGCTTCCTGCTTCCAAATGCAGGAAAGGTTATGAAGTAAATATGTACAGTAGGGCTACCAACCACCAGGTGGAGGTCTGGAGGTTTCCTGGAATTACACCTGTTCTCCAGTTAGGTAAAAGAAACCAGTTTTCCAATCCTTGCACTCTTAATTCCCCATGTTAATCTGAATGTACATCTAGATGTTTTGGGGGTGTAGTAGTAGAAGAGATTGGATTTATACCCTGCCCTTCCCTCAGAGTGGCTAACAACCTCCTTTCCCTCCCCTTCCCCACAGCAGGCACCCTGTGAGGTAAGTGGGTCTGAGAGACCCGCTCTGGGAGAACTTGTGACTGGCTCAAGGTCATACCAGCAGCTGCACTTGGAGGCATGGAGAATCAAACCTGGTTCTTCTAGATTAGAATCCGTGCTCCTGACCACTACACCAAATCAGTTCCCCTGGAGAAATTAGCTGCTTTGGTGGGTGGACTCTGGCATTCTATAGAGCTGAGGTTCCTCCCCAACCTAAATCCTGCCCTCCCCCCCTCCAGGATTTTCCCAACCCCTAGTTGGCAACCTTAGTTAGTAGGGGCATAATGCCCCTGTATAAATCAATGTACAAATAAATGTGACCTCATTTTGAATACTGTGTACAGTTCTGGTCACCACACCTCAAAAAGGATACTATAGCACTGAGAAAAGGGCAACTAGAAGTTGGAACACTTTCCCTATGAAGAAGGTTAAAGCGCTTGGGGCTTTTTAGCCTGGAGAAATGACAGCTATGGGGTGACATAATCGAGGTTTATAAGATTATGCATGGGATAGAGCAGGTCGAGAAAGAAGTACTTTTCTCCCTTTCTCACAATATAAGAACTCATGGGCACTCCATGAAATTGCTGAGCAGTCAGGTTAGAACGGATAAAAGGACCTACTTCTTCACCCGAAGAGTGATTAACACATGGAATTCACTGCCACAGGAGGTGGTGGCAGCTACAAGCATGGATGGCTTCAATAGGGAATTAGATAAGCATATGGAGCAGAGGTCCATCAGTGGCTACTAGCCACAAGGGATAGATAGGAACTCTCAGTCTGGGGCAAGTAATGCTCTGTATTCTTGGTGCTGGCGTGGGGTGGGGGGGAAACAGTGGGAGGGCTTCTAGTGTCCGGGCCCCACTGCTGGACCGCCTGATGGCACCTGGTGTTTTGGGCCACTGTGTAACAGTGTTGGACTGGATGGGTCCTTCGCCTGATCCAACATTGGCTTCTCTCATGTTCTTATGTTTTAAAAAAATTACAATAAAATATCCTAAGACTGCAGACCTATTTAGTAGGATGTTGTATTAAATCAGTGGACCTTAGTGTTTTACCATATCTGCGGGTTTTAGGCTGTTCAGTAGCATCGGTCCTATTCATGATTTTCGCACTCGAGGAATCACACAAAGGGACTCAGCCCGCCACATCCAAGCAACAGGCAGGACCTGACGGTTCCCTCTAGCGGAAATCCTCTCACGCATGCGCCACATGTACCGCGGTCCACCCAACATTCCTCCCTCAATAGAATGCGCCCCGCAATGGACACCGGCCCAGCCTCGGCTGTCAGACAACCACCAATCAGGAGCGTGATCTACCAAGCCCTACCTCTCCAGCGCGCGCTCCTGCTCTCCGACCGCCCCTTCCGATTTCAACCAATGAGAAAGGGTAAAAAAGCACCATCTGCCCAATGGGGAACTGAGGCCGCGCCCTTCCTCCTTTCTCTCGCCTAAGCCGGACCAATCAAGGAGCAGCGCGCGCCGCTCAGAGCCCGGGCAGCTGCTGCAGGTAGCGGCGGCTGTGCAAACTACCGGCTCCGGCTGCTGGGCGGCGTCGCTCACAAGACACCAGACTTTATGAACCGCGTTGTCAAGGTCTCTGGCGTTCTAGATTCCCGTCGCCCTGGGATTAACAGGTTCTGGAGCCGCGTCGCTAGGGGACCCGGGGGTCCTGTGCAGCTTTAGAAGGAGAACGGCGACCATTATCCCTCGTTGCTAGGGGAGCACACTGCGTTCTAGAGCTGACCGACCGGCGACCCCGCTCCCTCGGCGTGAGTCTACAACGGAGTTAGCCTAATGTTCTAAAGAGGTGTTGCAAAGGGACGCTGCGAACTGCGCTTCCTCCCCGTCAAGGGTGCGGGGAACGACGTGCACTGTGTAGGCACTGGAGGTTTCCAGAGTCAAGGGGAGGGTTTCCCCCCCTGAAGTGGGGTTCTGGGGTATCTTTGGACTCCTGGTGGTGCCCTTGCCAAAGGCCATTGGTAGCCGCCACCAGTACAGGGTTTTTATGCAGTTTGCACTAGGCGCTCTTCAGCAAATGACCTTTTGAGAATGTCCGGGGTTAGCATTTCACCGTGACAACCAGGTTGCGGAACTGGGAGAAACCTTTGTTGTTGGTGTTTTGTGCAATGTGGTAGGTCGAAGTAGTGCTTAAAGTAAATGGGCCGGTTATGTTGGTGAAACATTCCTTTCCTGGGTGTTTCACTTTATGTTAAGTCGAAACTGTGTCATCGTACAGTATTCGGTGAACCCATCCTGACCTGTAGCCATCTTAATTTGCACTGCTGGCTACTTTCTCTTGCACCCAGTGCTGCTAGATTTTCAGCAAGTGAACAGTGAAGGACTTGAGACTGAAAAAGTTCAGTTCTCCGAACCACAGCTGTTAACTGCCGTTGTAGGTTTACTAACCTCCTGTGCAATCCCATGAGTTCTCCTACTGCCTATAAACAGCCAGTCGTCACCACCAGAGGACTCTCATTTGAACCTCATAGAAGCCTGTCCCCCTCCCAAGTGAACCCTGACAGGCATCCCTCCCCTGCTTGTGGAAACCAGGAGGAACCAAAGATGCTTTCCGAGGCCCTTCCTTGCTTCCAGTTACTTCGGATGGGCCCAGCTTCACCGGGGGACTCGCCCAATCGGGACCTTTACACCTTCCGACCCTCCAAGCCCAGCTGTACCTATCGGCTGGGCCGCCGTGCCGAGGTCTGTGATGTCACTCTGGTGTCGGAGCAGAACCCGGCCTTGATCTCACGGATCCACGCAGAGATTCATGCGGAGAGGGATGCTGACAGCACAGCTGGGGAGTGGAGAGTTGGCCTGGTGGACTGC